GGGGGGGGGGGGAGTAATTTTATATGACAGAGAGTAAATATTTTACTGGAGAGGTTAAAATTTTTACTGGCAGAGGTAATATTTTTACTGAAGAGAGTAATTTTATATGGAAGAGAGTTATTTATCGGGAAAAAGAGTAATATTTATACTGGAGAGGTAATATTTTACTGGGAAAAGAGTAATTTTATACGGAAAAGAGTTATTTATATGGAGAAAAGGGGAAAAATTTATAAGGAGAGGAAAATTTTTTCTGAAGAGAGTAATATTTAACTGAAGGAGAGTAATTTTTAACTGGAAAAGAGTAAAATTTATATGAAGAGAGTAAAATTTATATGGGCAGAGAGAATATTTTTATGGAGAGAGATATTTATATAGAGAGTAATTTTAACTGACAGAGAGTAATATTTTACTGGAAAGAGAATATTTATAGGAGAGGGTAATATTTTCTGGAGAGAAATATTTAAATGAAGAGAGTAATATTTTAATGGAGAGAGTAAAAAAATTTTTAAAAATAATAAATTAAAAAAAATGGGAGAAGTAATATTTATACTGAAGAGAGTAATATTTATATGGAGGGTAATATTTATACGGGCAGAGAGTAATATTTTACTGGAGAGGTAATATTATACTGAAGGGGATATATTTTTTATGGAGAGAGTAATATTTTTACGGCAGAGTTAATTTTTACTGGAGGGTAATATTTTTTCTGGGAGAAGTAATATTTTTACTGGGAGGTAATATTTTATCGGGGAGGGAAATAATATTTTCGAGAGGAGTAATATTTAACGGCAGAGAGTAATATTTTCTGAGAGAGTAATATTTTTACTGAAAAGTTTTATTTTTATGGAGAAGTAATATTTATACTGGCGAGAGTAAATTTATACGGGAGAGAGTAAAATTATATGGGGGAGGAAATTTTTTTACTGAGAGGAGGAATATTTTAGGGAGAGATATTTATCTGAGAGGGGTAAATTTTTTACTGAGAGAGTAAATTTTTTGAAAAGGGGTAATATTTATACTGAAGAGAGTAATATTTTTATGGGGAGAGGAATATTTTAATGGAGAGAGTAATTTTTAGGGAGAGTAATATTTTTTTGAGAGGTTTT